TTCTTTGTGTAGCTGTTCTGGAACTCACTCTGTAGACCAGGCTGGCCTCAAACTCAGATATCCAACTGCCTCTGAATCCCGAATGCTGGGATTAAAGGTGTGCACCACCACTGCCTGGCTTACTTCTTATTGTTTCTAGCCTAAGCAGTGCACTTGAATCCACTTATCTAACTGAAATTTCTGGTTCTCTGCTCTTTGACTTTCTGTCCACTAGTACTGAGAGGGACTCTCTGAAAATGTAAGCCAGATCATGTCATTCACTCCTCTGTTTGTACCCATTGGTGGCTTCCTATTTTGCACAAATTGAAGCTAAAGTCTTTCTATTATTCTCTATTGTTCCTTTTCCTTTTTCATCCTCTACCTGGCCCCATTGCTTTTGACATAGAAATCCACTGAGCACGGCAAGCTCTTGTGCAGAGCCCACTGTTATTGTCTCATCTTTTGCCTCTTTTTGCTCAGAGTCCTATCTGTTCCCTGTTTACTTTTCTCTATAGCACATTCTTATTTTATTTTTGCTTTGTAAAAGTTTTTTATTCATATATTTTTGTTGATGTGTATGTCTTCCTTGTCTGCATATGAACTCCATGTGCACAGTGCCTGTGAGCCCAGAAGAGGGCATCAGATCTCCTAGAACTGGAGTTACAGATGGTCGTGAACCACATGTAGGTGGGGGAATTGAACCCCAGTATTTGGGAAGAGTGGCTAGTGCTCTTAACTGCTGAGTGCTCTCTCCAGCCCTCTATTTTTGCTTCTTAAGATGTATTTGTCTCTCTCCTCCCCCTCTCACTGCATATTAAGAATATAGGTACAATAAAGAGAGCCTGTGAGGTTCATTGCTGTATAGTTAGTGACCCGATGGATGAAGCTGCTGAAGCCTTCAGAATTCCCCAGTTGGCTCATATCTCAGGGTAGGAAGCCACAACGTCTTACCCTTTGCTTCCTGTTGGCTGTAGAGACATTACTTGCTATTTTAAAGATCCAGGCAAGCCTCTCACGCTGTTATATTCCCACCATTACTCACTGATCCTCTCCTTCCCCTGGGACTGTGTGGAAATTAACGCTCTATGGTTTGGGGAGCTGATCTGAAAAGTGTGATAAAGGTAGAGCATAGCGCAATGGAATACTGTGAGATTAAATAAAACGAGGAACAAAGACAACTATCAAGTCTAATGTGAATTAGGGTTCTGTAAGCACTTGTGACTTCTATTATTTAATAGCTACATTATCTTAAATGAATGCATTATTTCTACCACTTTAAATCAACATTTAAATTTGTTTTTCAGATCGTCCATGTCTTAAAAATAAGCAGCATGTAGAAAATTTACAAGAACCCGTTCTCCAGCTTTTGTTTAAGTATTCGAAACTGTACCATCCGGAAGAGCCCCAGCATTTCGCCCGCCTCATAGGGCGGCTTACTGAACTGAGAACTCTGAGTCACAGGCACTCGGAAGTCCTCAGCGCCTGGGAAACAAAGGACCCCAGACTGCTTGTGTTACTCTCTGAGAAATGGAATTTGCATTCATTTTACTGAAATGGAGAACGTTGAGGTTTGTCTTAAAATTTCAAAATCAAAATTGGATGACTGATTGGAAAATCGTAAACCACTGTGTTACTACACTTCACTATAAAATGGAGATCCTAAGGATTCATCAGGTTTTGTGGAATTTTGGACTCTCAGTAGAGGAAGACTCTAGGATTCTTCTCAATGGAGCCATGTGGAGGCACATTCCCTGTATTTGGGAGATGGAGGCAAGATCCTGAGTTTAAGGCCATCCTGGGTTGGATAGTAAGACCTCATCTCAGAAGAAGAGAGAGAAGAACTGATGGCCATCGTTTCTTCATGAGTCCTTTACCTAAGGAAACTAATTGTTTTTATTTAGCTGAAAATATCCAATGTATAAATGTGAACAGAGGATAGCTGTATAGTTGTATAAGGCAGGGTGTCTGCCTCATTGATTCAGGACACGCTGATGGAATAAGAAGCTGATACTTAAACCTCTTCTTGTGATGGCATTTCATGGATGATTAAAGAGGAAAAGATCTTTTCAAATTGTGTCTTTGTATTTGTGAAGAAGTATATGCTAATTATACAAAATAGTGAGTTCCGTTGAGAAAATTTCATATATATATGTATATATATACATATATATGTATATAAGATATTTCAGTTGTATTTACCACCCACTGTGTACTCACCACACAGTGCTGATGCCCTTCTTGTCCCCCCACTGTCCCCTTCTACTTCCATGTCTTAAAACAATAGATTCACACATGCAAGAAAACATCTGACTCTAGTCTGAGTCTGGTTTATTTCCCTGAACATGAAGATGTCCATCTGTTTTTCTGCAAATGACATAGTTTCATTCCTCTTAAGGACTGAATTGTGCGTGTATATCTGTGTATATCACATTTTATTTATCCACCCATCTGCTGATGGCACCTAGTTTGATTCCATATCTTGGCTACTGTGACTATTGCTGTAATAAACATAACTATGCAGGTGTGACAATTTTATGTGGCTCTTGATTTAGGTGTTTTCCCAGAAATGGTATAGATTATACAGTAGGTCTACTTTTAGATTTGAAGGAAATGATACAGTGATTTCCACAGTGACTACTTCTCAATAGTGTATAAAGATTCCTTTTCCTTCAAAATTCTTACCTACAGTTGTTTTTCCCTTTCCTTTTTTAATTAAAAAAAAAAGTGTGTGTGTGTGTACCAAACACATTTGTGAACATCAGAGGATAGCTCTGTGGAGTGTGTTCTCTCCTTCCACTTTTACGTGTGTTCCATGGATTGTCAGGCTTAGACACAAGAGCCTTTATCTGTAGACCCGTCTCACCCCACCCCATCCTGCCGTACCCTGTGTGGCTTGGTGTGGAGGCTGAAAAATGCAGGCCCATTTCTACCTTGTCTGCTGTTTGGAGACTGACAAGCATGGTTGCACATCCCAACTCAGGAGGTGATTGCCTGATTCTTTTGAAATTAAGATAGTTCATTGGTCAGCATATGCAAATGTTCTTCTGCTCCTTCTTTTGTAACTATGAGGTCACCTGGAGAGGGGCAGTCTTCAGAATACCTGACCCAGGTCTGGAGATGGCTCAGCTTTTAAGAGCACTGACTGCTCTTCTAGAGGACCCAGGTTCAATTCCCAGCACCCACATGGCAGCTCACAACTGTCTGAAGATCCAATTCCAGGGGATCTGACACCTTCACACCAATGCACATAAAATAAAGTTAAATAAACCATAAAAAATTTTTTCAAAAAGAAAGAAAAAGAAAAAAAAAAGAATACCTGACCCAGAGCGCCTTTGCAACCTAGAAAACAGAATGCTAAAGATTTGATGTCTCAGAGTGATAAAGCGATTGACTGTGTGAGTTATCCTGTGTGTCATGTTAATAAAGTCTTTTGTTACCGCCCCCCCCCCCCATTTATGTTGGGTATAAAAGCTGTGGAAAAATAAACATGGGTGAATTTCAGGATTTCAGTCACTGGAATGCCTTCCTGATACTTTCTATGGTTTCTGTTCTGTTATTTTTTATGTGTCTTCATATTTATTTTTACTTATATTTCTTCAATTTCCACGCCCCTACCCTGGCAAGAGGTGATTTTGTCAAGAGCGGTTCTCCACAGCTTGGTTCTGGAAGCCTGGCTGGGGTGATGAGTGAATGAAGAAACGACACAAGGCAGAAAAACTGGGATTGCTTGTTGTCTTAGTGCCTTGTAACATGAAGGGCCAGGCCTGCTTGTTGTTGGGGTTTTTGTCCTGCCTGGTGTCCCACAACTGTACCCAAAGAAAATCACACTTAGGTCTCCATAAATTATAAGCTGATTGGCCCCTTAGCTCTAGCCTCTCACTGGCTAACTCTCACATCTTGATTAACCCATTTTTCCGATCAATGTTAGCCATGTGGCTCAGTACCTTTTTTCAGTAGGGCAGATCACATCCTGCTGCTTTGGTGGTCTGGGGAGGAGTGGGAGGAATCAGCTTCTTCCTTCCCAGAATTCTCCTGTTCTCCTTGCATCATTTCTTTTCCTGTTTGGTTTTCCAGCCTATACTTCCTTCCTGGCCAATCAGCGTTTATTTAAAACATGATTGACAGAATACAGACAATTCTACCACAGTTCCTTTTCTATTTTTGTGAAGAGACACTATGACCAAGGCAATTTATGAAAGAAAGCATTTAATTGGGGGCTTGCTTAAAGTTTCAAAGAATGAGTCCATGATGATCATGGCCAGAACCATGGCACCAGGCAGGTAGGCATGGCACTAGAGTAGTAGCTGAGAGGTTACATCTAATTTGTAAGTTGGAGGCAGGGGACATAAGAGGGGGGATGACTGGGCCTGGTATAGCCTTTGGAAATTTCAAAGCCCATCTTCAGTGACACACAGCTAATCCTCAAACAGTCCCCTAAGTTGGGATCAAGGAATCAAATATAGGAAAGAGTTGGGTCCATGCTCATTCAAACCACCATAAGTGGGCCTCTGATGGAGGGTACCAACTAGACAACAACCTAGAAGCTTAGCATATTTATTGTTCATCACATAAAGAGTCAGGTTAGCTAGTCTTGGTTGAAGGTCTTTGTAGCCAGGCAGTCTAAAGTTGTAGTCATTCTGGAGGAGGAATAATTCTGCAGGTGATAGATTTTGCACACATGGTCAATATCTATATATGGACCAGAGGAGGGCTTTGCTATTATCATGAATCTGAGGCATTGGTCCTTGGCATGGCTGTGCTCCTGTCAATAATCCACATTCCACTCAGTTCTTCCTCTGATTTATACTTCTAAATTTATTCCAAAGAAAATAACAGCTAAAGATAAAGAAACACATTTTAATACTATGTAATGTAAAACTCCGAGATGGTCCTGTACTACCTCTATACGGTACTACAAGTCAGTCAGTACACGAGCTGAGAACTGGGCTGAGAGACTTAAAAACATACAGAGAAACACAGAGACAGAGACTTGGGCCACTCTTGACACAAGAGTGCCAAGTTTATTGTGATCAGGAGAAGCTTATATAGGGCTCTGGTCACGCCCCAGCTCTTGGGATATTTTAGCAGCAGACCCAGCAGCCTGCCAGCCTGCTCAGAGCAGAGGAAAAAAGTTGTTTTGCTCAGAGCTGCTGCAAGCATAGGAAAACAAGCTGCTCACAGGGAATTCGGGGTCCTGGGGTCCACAGCCCCCAATAGCTCCCAACATAATGTCACATATACAAATACCCTAAGAATACCTAGTACAGCTTGACTTCAATAGCTAAATTTTTAAATGAAGGTCTGAGAAAATGCTAATGAGTTCTTTGATGAAACTATCAGGCTTGGTGAATTTGCCAAAATTAATGTAAAACTGAGGAGGCAAAGATGAAACGCTTTGGAAAGCAGTGTTTTTAAATAGCTTCATTTCTCTTTCCTTTTCAAACAGACGCAGACTAAGATTAAATAGTCTCTATGTGGATGCACAATGATATCCTCTTCAACTGTTTTTTAAATTGAAGACTGCGGGTTTAAACAGCAGGCTTACATTTATAGCATGCACATAGTAGCGTAGGATATAAAAATAACCATTTAAACCCTATGAACACTATTTATAGAGTGCATTGCTATTACAAGGCCACTGTTTGGGAACGAGGAAGGGGAGAAGGAAAGAAGGGAAAAAGGAAAGAAACAGAGCAAAAAAGCAACTAAAAATAGCAGTCTAGGTACCTCAGGGACCTTTAGATTGTGGATACAATGTGGTCCCACAGGCGACACTTCCTCAAGCTCCTGCTTCTGGGCTTTCTCAACATGATGACTGTGAGCCCAGGTTGCTATTGTTATTTGATCATAAGAACAAGAGATGAAAATTGTTTATGAGAAGTGGGATATATAAACACAACAAATCTGACCTTGTGGTTAATACATTTTTGCAAGGATTTTATGGGAGAAATTTGGAGAAGCATGAAGTTGTTGCAGAGTTTAAGTGTGAAGGCCACAATTCCAGCAGTGTCGACAGTGCCGTCCTGGCTCATGAGGTTCCAGAAGGAAACAAAGACTCTATCAGAAATTGCACTAGAGACCACTTTGGTTAAATTCTGGCAAAGAACCTGGCCACATTATTCCTATATTCTGAGAAATTGAGGTTTAAATAAATAAAAGGATTAATTTGGTAGAAGTTATTTCAAGATAGCATGTATTGGACTGTGGCATAGTTTTTTCCTACCGCTTTTAGCAATGTTTGCAACAATTGAGCGGAAGGATATGAAAAATGTGCAGTTTTGTGGGGAAAGGTGTAACTGATTAATTAAAAATGCTGCAGGATCCCCTAGTTTTTGCAGCAGGCAGTGGGGCATGAGACCACACCACACACCACAGGTCCCCCAGTGGGGGCAGAAAGCAGTCCCTAGAGCAGTCAGTCCCAGGCAGGGACGGCACATGAGACCACTCCGCAGGTCTCCCTGGGCAGCGGGCAAAAGACATACGAATAGGCACACCATGCAGAGTGAGGTTGGATATTTATTTAGTGGATATGGAGGGGGAAAGGAGAAGGAGAGAAGAGCAGAGAGGCAGAGTGTGTGTGTGTGTGTGTGTGAGAGAGAGAGAG